GGACACTCACCTGGAGGCACTCTGCCATCCCCGAGGGGCCAAGCGAGTATGGTAGGGGAGCTCTTAGGGGGGAGGCTGCAACACCCAGAACTTCCACCCTGCCCAGGAAGTGCCCGAATGTTCACAGTGCCTCCTGTGGCCCTTCCAGGTGTCCATCTGCAAAACCTGCACAGCCACAGCCCCGAGGAGATCAAGTGCCGATACTGTCCCGCTGGCTTCCATGAGCGCTACGCCCTCATTCAGCACCAGAGGACCCATAAGAACGAGAAGAAGTTCAAGTGCAAGCAGTGTGATTACGCTTGCAAGCAGGTACTGCGTGTGATGCTGATGCGGTGCGCACACTCGGGCCCACTCACGCAAGCCGCTAGGGCGTGTGAGCCGGGTGTGCGAGTATACAGGAGAGCGGGGAACAGTCATTCTTAAGAAAGGGGCTATGGGGGCTGGAGAGATGGTTCGGCTGTTAAGAGCAGTTGTTGCTGCTCTTGCAAAGGACCTGAGTTTGATTCCCAGAAGCCATGTGGCGGTTCACAACTATCATAACTAAGGTCCATAACTTAGTTCCAGGGGACCTGACCCCCTCTTCTGACCTCTCTGGTCACCAGGTCCACACATGTAAGGAAGCAAAACACTCGCGCATGTTAAAATACAATAATAACTAAGCATCAATTTTAAAAAGAACGGAAAGAAGGAAGCTAGGGGCTGGGGAGCTGGCTCGGCAGTTAAGCGTGATTGCTGCTCTGTCATGAGGACTGGAGTTTGAACCCCAGCACCCATGCTGAGTGGCAGACAGCCAGCTATAACTACAGCTGCAGGGGATCCAACGTCTCTTCAGAGCTCTGCCGGCTTATGCACATACAGACACACACGTAAAGAGAAGAAAAAGAGACCTCCTCCCGCTAATAACCTTTGGAGAGTTGGGCTTGACCCAGCAGCCAGCTCAGGGTAACTGCAGGCTGTCAGCTGGAGCTGCCGAGGGGTCTGAGGTCCTCGCCACACAATCCAGGCCACCATCAAAGTGGTGCAAGCGTAGTCCACTCGTGTGGACGTCTGATGGCAGAGCAGCGCTGTGTCTTCGCCCCAACTGCGGCAGTGACACCCTGCAAGGCCCGCGCTGGCCATGGATATGAATTTCCTGCCCAGAAGCCAGAACACAGGGCATGAAGGGGCCCTGAAGGGGCTGTGAGATGGCTCAGCAGCTAAGTGCTGCCTCGGCCAGTGAGGTCTTCCAGCAAGCTCCACAAAGATGTCCTCTGTCTCCACACATGCACCACCCCACACACCAAACACACCCCAAACGCGCGCGCACACACACACACACACACACACACACACACACACACACAATGATAAATGATCTTAAATGTCCTCAGTGAAGCTGTCAAGGTTGTCACCTTGGGAAATCTTGAGCCAACAGTCTCTAATGTCCTGTGGGAGAGATGGACACTGTAAACAGCACCTCGCCTGCCTTCTGCAGCCCGGGCAGTGGGATATTTGGATTGTCGGCCAGTTTCCCACGGCCGTCACTTTCCTTTGAACAAGTACTTGGCAGACAGACTCCGCATGCGGTGATAAGCACTCGGGACATTCTCTTGACAAACAGGTGGCACAATGGGAAATTAAGGGGGTCACACTCCCACTGATAAAACGTCACCTTGCAGAAGAAAATTAAGAGTTCAGATTTTGGACACTTCGCCATCAGTGCTGAACTTTCCAGCTTTCGGGTCCTTGGAGACCTTTCCCATAGGATCTGGCCATCTCTAGCAAGCAGGCTTTCGTTTGCCTGCAGGACGAGCGTCCAGAGCTCAGCACTGGGCGTCCTCTTCGCCGCTTTCCACCTCATACTTTGAGACAGTCTGGCAGATCTGGGAGCTCCATGAGTAGGTTAGCCAGACACACAGCCCCAGGAACCCGACTGCCTCCTCCCAGAGCTGAGATTGCAGGCACATGCCACCACACCTAGCTCAACTGCTGTGGTTGCTGAGAACTGAACTCAGGATCTCTGGAAGAGCAGCCAGTGCTCTTGACCACTGAACCATCTCTCCAGGCCCCAAATTCAAAGTTCTTATGCTAACACAGGAAGCATTTTACCCACTGAACCAACTCCCCAGTTTCCTCCCATTCTTTTTTTTTTTTTTTTTTTTTTTTTTGTTAACAGTGTGTCAGCATTCCTGGGTTCTCCATATACTTAACAAACACCCCACAGATCAGGGAGAAAGAGAGTCAGGCTTCTCCTGGGTTCCCTGAAGAGGGTTTTCAGACTCCGAAGAAAAAGCAGAGGGCAATTAACTCTTAGTTTCAGCCCCAAACACCCCAGCCCACATTGTAACATTAGGATGCAGTGTTATTTTGAAATATACTGATTTTCTTTGAACTATTCAGAAATGTTTGTCAGTTCCTCACTTTGGGTTTCTCGCAGTAAACAGTGCTATGTCTCACGCCCATAAGCAAAAGCACTTTGGAGTGTGTGGTGATCTCACTGCGCCTCGTTGCCTCACCAGTGAACAGCAGAGGCGGCATCTCACTGTTTTTCAGAGTGTAGGCTGGATCGGGGCTAGAGAGATGATCAGTGGCTATAGAGGACCAGAGTTTGATTCCCAGCACCTACATAAGGCAAATCACAATTGCCCATAACTCTAGCTCCAGGGAATCTGACACCTTCTTCCAACTTCCTCTTTTAGCCCCGCCCAGGTATACATGCACACACACACACACACATAAATAAAAATAAAATAAACCTTCAAAGTGTGGACCGTAGAGGATTTTTGTTTTGCTTTTGGTCTCTTGTAACCTAGGCTGGCTTAGAATTCCACACACAACCAAGGATAACCCTGACCCCCTGGCACGCAGCGTGCTCTGGTTTTTAGGAGGGCCACACTGCTCTTGAGGGAAGAAAGTCTGGTAACGGTGGACAGTTCTGAGGAACCCTTCCACCCTGTGTCAGCTGTGTCCCTGCTTTCCCTTAGGAGCGGAGCTTGACAGCGCACATGCGCACACACACGGGAGAGAAGCCCTTCTCCTGCCTTGTCTGCAACAAGCACTTCCGGCAGAAGCAGCTGCTCACTGTGCACCTGAGGAAGTACCATGATCCAAGCTTCATCCCTGACATGCACCTGTGCCTCAAGTGTGGCAAAGGCTTTTCCCGATGGGTAAGTATCTCTCTGCCTCAACAACTACCACAGCCTCAAACAGAGACCACCTCCTCTGAGGAAGGTTTCCCCCAGTCTTCGGGGTCAGAAAACTCAAGCATTTTATAAACACTATCCCGTATACACAGCTTCGGGGGATCGAGCCAGAGCCAGGTACATGTTCTCCACTGGGCCCCCTATTTATTTATTCTTATTATTTTGAGGCCAACTCTAGCTAAATTGTCCACTCTGGCCTTGAACTTGTGCTCCTCCTGGATTAGACTCCTGAGAAGCTGGGAAGGCAGGTCTGGCCCACCAGGCGGGGCTCAGATCCTGTTGGTCGTGTTCTTTGGTGGGTATGAAATTGCCCCATGGTTACTTACTACTGTTATTTCTGTTTCTAGCCTTTCTCATTTTGGTAAAACTGCTGGTCCAGGAGGCCCAGATCTGGGGGGCCCTGGGGTAAATTGTCCACATACTATGTTGAAAACAGTTTGGGGAAACCTCTGGCTTCTGACAGAACTTAGTTTTCTGTGTTCATTTTTGAGACAGGATCTTACTATATAGTTCTGGCTAGTCTGGAACTTGCTGTGTAGACCAGGCTGGCCTCAAACACCTAGAGATCTATCTGCCTCTGCCTCCTGAGTGCAGGGATTAAATGTTTGTGGGCCACGGGCTGGGCAGGACCTAGTTTTTAAAGTGTGCCAGTTGACAATTGTCCTGTGAACAGGCGTCTTCACGGAGCGATTTCCATTCTCGGGCGTTTCCAGGGTGTAAAATCAAACAGCGTTCCACATTCGTTTTATATTCTGTCAGTTGGTGTATTCATCTTCCATTTCCACATAACAAATTACTTCAAAATGTCAGGCCTTAACAAACTTGTACCACATCACGGCGTATGTGAGTCTGGAATTGGGGATCAGCGTGGCCGGGTGGTTCTGGCTGTTAAAAATGAAAGCGCAGCTGGATACTTGAATCCTATTTCCCTTTTCGGTTAAGAGGAGGGTCTCTGGTGAGGCCTCGAGGGGGACGAAGGAGTGGGTTTTGGATAGGAAGTTTATTAGAAGAGATATCAACACCGTGGACAGACAGACAGCAGCACAGGGGGGCTCTGAGAAAAAGACAGGGCCCCCTTCTTACAGGTGTGAGAGGAAGGGGGAGTTCTCAGCAGGAGCCTGTGGCCAGGTTTCTCTAATGTGGACAGGAGCACATGGACCTGAGGTGTCCCCACCCACTGGTGGCCTTTTGGTGTCGGGCTCTCTAGGGTGTCTGTCCCGGTGGCAGCAGGGAGCAGGGTGAGGGTGAGGATGAAGGCCGGTAGATGGGTACCTTAAGCAACTGCCTCCTCTGGAATCTGGCATTCTTCCCTGGAGTCCCCGCACCAGGGGCCTGTCAGAGTCACGGGTTTGCCCTCCGGCAGGATTCTGGTGAGTGGCAGGGACGGCAGGCGAATGCACTCTGGTTTATCCCAAGCTTCAATTTAAAACTGTTCAGATTTCGGCTTGCTAGCACACACATCAGTTTGTCTCTGGATCACCGGCCAGCAACATGACTCCCTTTCCAGTGGTGACCCGAATCCTGACCCAGGTGGCATCTCCGATGCTCCTTCTATGCCCAGCTCAGGGGTGTGTCACATGCCACTGTCTCCGTGTACAGAAGAGCCTATGTGTGCTGCATTTATCATCCTTGTCCTGCTGCTCTTCGAAGACTGGCACGTCTGAATTCGTGCGCATTAACTCAGCCTGTATAGCAAGGGTTCTCAGCTCTAATCTTTATGCATGGCAGGCAGTTGCTGCTCCCTGCACGGGGGTGGGGGGACAGCTTATCTCCAATGCTCAGGGGGCCCTGACCCCAACACCTCCCCAACTGAACACAAGCTTTATTTTGTACATAACTATGCAGACCCAGTCACCCGCACATTTTCTCTGTAAATAGAATAAATGCTCCCAGCTTCTCAGGCAGCTTCCCCACAGACATGGATAGACCACTTATGAATGAATATATTGGGAAAAGAATAATCTCAGTGCGCCCACACACACACGCCAAGAGGAAAACATAAGCAAAGTTAAAGTAAGTTGGCAAGGAAGTTCCTTTTTGTAAAAAGGATGTGCCAGAACTCAAACTGGGCTCATGGGCATGCTCAGCCAAAATGGCCTCGTCTTTTATCCCTGACATTCATGGTAAGTGCTTCTCACCCCATTGGTGAGTGCCATATTCAATGAGCCTCCAGCTGGAAGAAGCCAACTGGTTGCTGCCCGGATTCTATGATGGCAGTTAGGGTTACCTCTTCAACGGACCTATCTAAAAGACCCCAACAGTGTATCAGTAGTTTTACTTGTATAACATCCAGGATGGAGTGGAAAGGAATAATGCCTGACTGATGCCTGGAAAGAGACAAGGGAGAAGAGAGGGCAAAGGTCATTAGCATTATAAGTAGTGGGCCCAGGAGAAGTCAAACTAGAGGCTAATTATTAAATGTCTAAGATTGTTTCTCATCTTTGTTGGGTTCTTCATTTTTCTTTGGCCTAGAAGCTGGTCACAGGCTTTCAGGCTCTTTGATGGCTCTTGAAATGTCTAGAATCACTCACTGTGAGATCCCGCCTTTGGCTTCTTGCTAAGGAGAGAAGTGAAATCTCACCAGTAGTAAATTTGGGTTAAGACAATAGTGGGCCTGTCTCTCTCAGCTGTGGGGAGGTGCTGCCGTGGTGAGCCACGGTGTAAAGTAGGGTTTCGGATGGCGTTTTTCTTATCAAGGAGAAAATCGTTAGTGAGAAATCATTGCCTAAGCAGCACCATGGCTGGATCCGAGTCTGACGTCTAGGGAGTTGGCTAACAGGGCTGTCAGGGAGGCAGAGCAGTCATTTTAGCTTCAGTTAGGCTTTTCTTACAGGTGTTTAAGGTCACGACAGTGGCTATAACTAATCTCTTCCTTTTCATTAAGGCCAAGTGAGGCTTTGTCCTCGGGTGTGCTCAGGGGTCACTTGGGTCTGAGGAGGAAAGAGCTTTTGGCTCCTCCAGCCCCCCTTGTTTCCAGTCATCCATCCTGTGAGGATGAGTCAGAGGCCCCTGAGTCTCCCATTCCCATGGTCCGTATTAGGTATCTGAGAAGGTGAAAAAAAAAAAGAGGGAAGAAGTGGGAGGAGTGGGGCCTGTGACCGAATGCCTGTGGGGCAGAGATGGATACCCAGGAATTCCAGATGTTTTTATGGATGCTGCCATTTTGGTTCACGCCGTGAGGTGGGTTAACTAAGATGTCAGTGAAGTCACATGGTCGCCATGATCTTGATGTTGTCCAAGATGGTGGCCAAGTCTCATGGCTGTGTCTATCTTGATGAGGTCACCAGCCAAGACAGTGACAGAGAAACATAGTTATTTTTACTTCTGGTGTGCTCAGCCCCATGATAGAGTTAGTCCATCCATCACTGGGGCACGAGTCTCCGTGGGAGCCACTGCCTGTTTACATGTTGCTTTGCTTGTCAACTGGACACAAACTAGAGTTATCTAGGAGGATGAGGTGCCATTGAGAAAACACATCCATCTGATTGCCTGTAGGCAAGTCTGGAGGCCATTTTCTTAACGACTGATGTCAAAGGGCTAAGCAGGCGGTGTTATGTGTAAGAAAGCAGGCTGAGCAAGCCATGGGGAGCAAGCCAGCAAGCAGCACTCCTCCATGGCCTCTGTATCAGTTCCAGGCTCCAGGTTCCTGCCCTGTGTGAGTTCCTGCCCTGACTTCCCTCAGGGATGGTGTGTCACCTGAGAGTTGTAACTCTTTCCTCCCCGAGTTGCTTCTGGTCATGGTGTTTATCGCATCAGTAGAAACGCTAAAACAGGTACCAAGTAAGATCAGAATGGGTGTAAGAGGAGGAAGTACATGTAGCCCAGGCATTATACGCCACTAAAGCAAAATAAAATAAAACACAAGCAATCTAGCAAAGGAAGTTATTCCACGCTCTCACAGCAAGAAACGGGGTTCTGTATGTTTTAGCACAGTTGTAACTGAATGCCAAGGGTGTTTTCTGGGCCTTGGTTTAATCTCCCTTCAGCTCCCAGACACAAGCTGGTACCTGGAACCCATGATGAAGTGGAGAGAACAGGAAGTTTGCCCCAGAGCCCATAGTGGCCCTGTGATTTGGGGGAGCACACGGAGAAACTGGGAAAGAGAAGTGACCTTGGCGTGGGCTGGATCAGATGGGCCTGTGACTACTGAACGGCGCCCTCTCCACCGGGAATCAGAGGGGAGAGCTGCCCCCTGTCTGGAGGATCTGCTGCCTTAGAGCCTTGTTTAACCTAATTGTTTCCTCTCCTGGATTCACGAGCGTTTATCTGTCAGAGTTTCAACCACACATAGAGAGTTCTTGAATCTCGGCCTCAGGTAACGGAGGTCTCTTGTATTCTGCTTCTGATTTCCTCTTCCATCTTCAGCTGATTCCCCCAACGCTGCAGCCCTCCATTAGGTGCTTTTTAGCCAAAGCCACCAAGGAACTACGTGGAGCTGGGGACCTGACTCCTCATTCACCCTTACAACCTCCAGGGTTACCCAACCACCCAGGAGTACATTGCCACTCTTTGCACTTCCTGCCTGGTTTTGTGAGCAAGAACTTCCTGGTCACCAGTGGGATGTTGGGGGGGTCCTCCCTGTGTTTCGGAGAAACTTTCTTTCCTGAGATCATTATCAAGAGTGTTGTTCACCTGAAAGTCCAGGGGCCATCAGTGTGGGAGTGAGTGCACCTCCCCCAGTGCAGGGGATCTAGGCCCTCTCCCAAGTAAGTCCCGAACGAGCCCCCAAATTGTTTTCCATGTGATGCAAAGGAACACACCAACGGGAAGTAGCCTGGCAAGACAGTTTGCTTCATAAAGAGGGTACACAAGATCCCAAGCTGTGCCTGCAAGCACTCTCAGCCAGCATGGACTCTGTCTTTTGCACCTGTCTTATTTACAGCTTCCTTCCTCCCCTGGAATTACCAGCATGAGCCACCACAGCCAGCCTTGCTTTCTGAGCTCCAGGGTGGTGTGAACATGTGCTGCCTGTGTTCTGAACTCAGGTTTCCAGGGAGCAGCCAGGTGACAAGCCTCTGCACGATGGCAGGCCTAGAAATCGGTGCTGCCTCTCGCTTAGCGTCAGCCCTCACTTCACTGAGTAGGAGCATCACGGAAAGAGGGATTCACTCTTCTTTTTGCCAGCTCTTATTTTAATAATGAAAACATGCTAGCTTATTGCTAGACTTACCATTTGGGGCTCCTGGAGAGACGTGCTCAGCACTGAAGAGCATGTATCACTCTTCTAACCTAACTTTGGCTCCCAGCACCTATATCAGGTGGCTCACAGCCACCTGCTACTCCAGCTCCAGGGAATCTTATGCCCCCTCTGATCTCCAGAGACACCTTTACCCATACATGTGTGCGTGCGCGTGCGCACGCGCACACACACACACACACACACACACACACACTTTAAAGGTCATTCTGGTTTGGGTTTGTTTTTCAGTTTCAGCCCCAAATCTAAAAGGTGCACATTGCTGCCTGTCTTCCTGAAGCCCACCTTTAAAAAAATATATATACATACATATATATATATGTATGTATATATATATATATCATACATATATTATATATATGTAATCATTGACATATTTTGTGGCGTGTCAGTGGGTGGAGCTTGCCGCATGCAGCACACGTGCAGAGCTCAGAGCCTGACCTTCATCTTGTGGGTCCCCAGGCTCTAACTCAGGCCAGCAGGCTTAGTGACAAGCCTCTACCTGTTGAGTTGCCTCAGGGGTCCACCAAAGCCTGTCTTTGGGTCGCACAGTGCACACGAGGACACTAAAGTTCACTGGTGGCCCGTGTCATCTTCCACAGAGTAACCTGCAGAGACACAGGAAGAAGTGTGACCCGGAGCACGAGAAGTTGGCCACCTCCAAAACAGGAAGACCTGTGCAGCGGACCCAGGCAGTGGAGAGAAGAGCAGGATGGGACAATGGTACGTCCTCTCTAGCCACTTTGGTTTAATCTGGTCGTGTTCCCCCTCCACCCCGCCCTGTTGTTAGCCCCAGCCGGAGAATCAGTGAGGGTGGAGACAGGTCACTGGGGGACTTGGCAACCTTTCGAAGCTGGCTGTGTGGTGGCCACACCTCTGCGAGGTCACTCACACTCACCCCTCAAACTGAGGTCGCCAGGCTCGGGCTTAGCAGTAAATACCTGCTGAGCCGTTTCCTGGGTGATGTCTGGTGACATTTTTGCTTGCCACGTCTGAAGAGAAGTGTACCACAAGTGTCTCATGCATGAGCAGCTGTTTGTCGGAGAGTCGGGTTGTTTCTGTCATGCCTGCTGCTGGGTTCCAACCACAGCGGTTGTTTTCAATGTATACTTTCTGATTCCCCAATCTGGGTGTCTTGGATTTCTCTCACATTTTCTCACTCTGTATCTTTCCCCCAAGACACTACTGCCCAGGAAAGCACCATCTCGAGGGAGGCACAGTGCCCTGAGGAGCCAGCCCTGGGCCACCGAGACAAAAATGAAGCCGAGAACGAGAGCCTGGACAAAGGCCTGACCTGCGAGATGATCTTTAACATGATGGATAAGTGACTGGCTGCTCCGTGCTGCGGCCTCTGGGGGAAGAAGTTAGTCAGAAATGAGTTCCCAGCCTTAGCCATCCCGAGTTCCCCGAGTTTGAGATAGTGTGTAGAAATGTTTGAAGAAGAAAAAAAAAAAAAACAACTGCAGCTTTTTCCTAAAACCTAGAGTCAGAGCTTGGAGTGAAGGGCACACCTCAGCCCCATGGGCTCATTCTCTGGGCACTGGCAGGGTGGCCCACAATGAGCCAGGGACAGTTTTTAGGTCATACTTATTCCCACGGGAGCTCAAAACTATTAACGCCTTAGTGGTTAGAGCAAGGAGTCTTTCGAGTTGTGTCCACCCTTGACATTTCTGATACTATGATTTTAAACACTGAAATGAATTGTATCCTCTTTTTTTATACAGATGAATTTTTCCATGACATTTAAAGCGACCGTGATGCTTTTAATGAATTCTAAATTAAACCCAAGGATCTTAATGTTATGAAAAGTTGGAATAGTAGAAAACAGAGAATAGCTCGTTTAACTAGAAAAAATAATAATATAATAGATTTTACTTTGGCATAGAGCAAGGCTCACTTTTAGTTTTTGTTCCTCCTACTTTTGTAGAGCTGTGGATTGACCCCAGTGCCTGGCACAAGCTGGGCAAATGCTCCATCACCAGGCTATACCTCCAGCCCAGACACAACTTTCCTTTTTTTTTTTAATATTAAGTTGTCCAGGGTGGACTTGAACTCAGCCACACTTTGAACTATTCATCCCCCTTCCTCAGTCTTCCAAGTAGCTGGAATGACTAGCCTTTGCCAACAGGCCAGGCTTGTGTTGTCTTTTAATCATATTCTTTGCCAGCTACGAAACTGCCCTGGTATTGTCCCTAGCATTATTGTTGTTCCTTAGCCAGGTGTGATGGTTCACACCTGTCTTGACCAGAACACAGGAGGCAGAGACAGGAGGATGGGAATTCAAGGTCATCCTCAGCTACATATCAAACTCTGGGCCAGCCTGGGCTCCATGAGACTATCTCTCAAAAAAAACATATATTTATATGATTTCTTAGTATTTAAGTTTGTAATCCTTTTGTTTTCCTGAAGGTATTTTATTTACATTTTTAAAAATGGTTGGCTGTGAGAAGAAACGTGGAAGTCTGATAATGAAATGTGTATTTGTGAAGAATTCGAGGGCTTGCTTTATTAATTCTCATTAGTTAGGGAGAATATCCTTAAACCCTTGTTCTGACCTCCAGTGTCTGGGGCATCTCTGTGCAGCTGAGGTTAGCCAGGGCCTGTCTACAGGAGCCAGGGTCCCTATCTTCGTTTAGTGAACCTCTGGGACCCCTACACCTCCATGTCTCCGAATCACCCATAGGCCCCAAGCTAAAATTCTGAAAATGTCCATCTGTTCAAAACATCCCACGAGTGAAGCCACTGAGGTGTGGACACAGGAGCAGCCCCCAGCAGAAGGGACACCGTGTTCTCTCCCTGCCAAGAATGAACTCCATTTATGACATGTAATAGGATTTGCACTGTGCTCTGTCATACGCTGTCATTGTGACTTGATTTTCATATTTTTGACTGTTGGGAAGAATTTTGGCATTATTCAATAAAATGAAATGATTTTTTTTTAAAACGATCTCTGTTGTAGGAAGATGGCAGTCTTTTTTTATTTTTGTTGTACTAGAGATTAAACCCGGGGCCTCAGGCATGCTGTGCAAGGCTCTCGACCACTAAGCACACCACAACCGTCTTCATCCGTTCTCTTTTGAGAAAGTTGCCCAGACTGGCCTTGACCTCGCCCCCTTGAGTGTCTGGGGTTACATCTACACCAGAAAACCAGCTAATAATACTCTTTAAAATGTTTTGGGGAGCAGGCTCTGCAGTTGAGAGTCCACGCCGCTTATGCAGAAAGCCTGAATTAGGTCCCCAACATGCATGTTGGGCAACTAACACACCTGTGTCTCTGACCCCAGGGGACCTGACACCCTTTTCTGGCTTCTTCAGGTACCAAACTGTGTGTACAGACTGCACATACAGACACACACAGAAATATGGTTTAATTTATTGTGTTGTTGTCATTATTGTTATTATTAGTTTTTTGAGACAGGTTATTATTGGCTGTGGCTGGCCAAGGAACTCTATAGACCAGACTGGTCTCAGACTCAGAGATCCACCTGCCTCCACCTCCCGAGTGCTGGGACTAAAGGGTTGCACAGCCATGCCCAGCCAGTTTAGAAATGTTTTGGTTTTGTTTTTAATGTCTTGCTGGGCCAGTGAGATGGCTCAGTGAGTAAGGCACCTGGCACCAAGCCTGATGACCTGAGTGCAAGCTCCAGGACCCACATGGTGGAAGAAGATAATCAGCTTCTGAAAAGTTGCCCTCTAACTTATGGTGGTGTGCCATGTACGCACGCGCACACACACACACACACACACACACACACGCTCATACACACAAACACGCATACAATTACTTAGAAAACTTTAGCATCTTCTTGAGTGAGGAGAGCGGGGGTGGCTCAGCAGTTAGGTGTTTGCTGTACAGGCGTGGGGACCTTGGCTGTCCAGTACCCAAGTGGAAGGTGAGGCATGGCATCGCCCATCTGTGATCCCAGGGCTGCGAAGCAGAGACAGCTGAACCCTTGGGTGCCAGCTTCCTTACAAGATCCTATCTTGAAAATATAAGGTACAGAGAAATTGAGCAAGCCACTCAGTGTTGACCAGTGACGTCCACACTCATGTACACGAGAGGCATGGGCGTACTCGGTGTCATGTCTGTGTCATGAGGACCCGGAGGACCTTGTGCCCCACGCTCTGTGAGTGGAAACGTCTAGACATTGTCTTGAAGATGAGGAGCAGTTCCCCAGAACACTAAAGCCAAAGCCCCAAGTGGTTCTGCAGCCAGCCACTGGGCTCCCTCCCAAATGAACTGGGACTGGGGTTCCCGAGAGAGACGTGAACCCCCACCTTCAAGGGGTACCCCAGCAGCCAAACCCCATCCGTGGGCAAAGAGAAAAACAGAATGTGGTCCGTGTGTGCAGTGGCTTACCAAGCAGGCCTAGAAATAAGTGTGCTCCATCCTGGGGGGACACCGAGCTCTGCTGAGTGGTAGGATGGGAACTCCCCAGGGCAGTGAGCTTGCTAGAGAGGGACAGGAGGACAGTGGTCAGCAGGGGCGGGAGCACAGAGAGATGGGGTTGAATGGGGACCTCTAAACTCCCATTAAACAGTTTTGCAGTGTGAAGACCTTCAAAATGCTCATGATGGCTGCACAACACCGTGTCACTCCTCACGTCTCTGGAGCGTAATTTAAAATAGCTTATGGTGGGGCCAGCAAGACAGTTCAGCAGGTAAAGGTGCTTGCTGCCAAACCTGATGACTTGAGTTCGATCCCCAGGAGAGGACAAAAGTTGTCCTCTGAGTGCCAGGTGTATATCATGACACACATGAGTGTCATGGGCATGCAAGTCACCATGCTATATCAGGACATACATGAACGTGTGTATGCACACACAAATAATTGTAATTTTAAAGAAGTACCCACAGTGGGAACTCTTCAATGCACTTCACAGCACCCACGTCTGTTACAGCTGCCTGTGGTGGTGCAGGCTTGTAACCCCAGCCTTGTGGAGACAAGACACCATCCTCCCCTACATAGTGAGTTCGAAGCCAACTTGGACTACCTGAGATCTTGTCTCAAAAAATATTTAAAATAAAAAACAAGCCCAGCAGATCTCTAAAGACATGTCAAAAATCTCTTTATAAACAAACTTTTAAAGCAGGCAGCAGCAAAGTTCGCCTGGGGCGGCTTGTGTTGACTCTGTGCTGGGTGGAATCCCACCGCTGGAGGAGGTCACACAGACACACAGGTGCCTCCTGAAGAGCGGCGGATTCTGGCGCAGGGAGCCCTAAGGTAGCGGCAGTGCCGGCAGTGCCCACCAGAGGGCAGGCGTCTCCTTCTTGAGCGTCCATACCGGCGATTCAAGGCTCTTCAATAACTGCAAAGTCTTGGCAGCTTGCTTTGTGCTGTGCCCAAAGAGTGGGTGAAAGAGAAATGGGGATGTGGCTGCTAAGTTAGGAGTGTTTGGAGAACCTGCTGGTGAAGGTGGTAGGTAGGAGGAACCTGCTTGGGGAGGGTTGCTTTGCTTAACACAATTTAGAGACCTGGAGATTCGGCCGAGTGACTAGAAGTCACTTCTGGCCCAGGTAATGCCTATTTTGCCAGGAGACAGTAACTAAATTGTCACTTCAGTTAGTGGCAGCTCTCCTCTACAAAGACTTTTGTTTTGTTTTGTTTTGTTTTGTTTTGTTTTGTTTTGTTTTGTTTTGTTTTCAGGACAAGGCTTCTCTGTGTAGCTTTGGTTGTTCTGGAACTCACTCTGTAGACCAGGCTGGCCTCGAACTCAGAGATCCACCTGCCTCTTCCTCCTGAGTGCTGGGATTAAAGGCATGCACCACCACCACCCAGCACCTAGCACAAAGACCTTTAAAAAAAAAAAAAAAAAAAAAAAGATGCACTTTTAGAAAGTGGCCAGAATGGCTTTTTGATTGTCTCCAGGGTAAAACATTCAGCTCCTCTGGTGCCCTTGACAGTTCTTGGGGAAGGCACTACCAGTAGTCCTGTGTCGTCTCTGAAGGCCACTGTTACTGCTACTTAAGCTACTTAAGCATACTGAGAGCCAGTGCCTTGGAATGTGACGCTCACCTCGGCTGTCGCTCTCTCTCCCCAGCCTTTCACGGCAGTGGGTTTGTAGCTTAGTGGTGTGAGATGCTTGGAGCAGCTGCCCCACCATTTCCAAGGTGTGGCTGTCACTACAAACCTGGCCACTGCCAATCTTCTTTGAAACCCTGCACAACCTAGTGTTTCAGAAGGGGTGCCTGCCTCCACTTTTGCCCAGTCAGAGGACAGAGAAGGAGGCCCATTGGGCTGGCCACAGCAGAAAGTACCACAAAAACTTCCTGTGGATGGGCCAAGAGACACCATACAGACAGCTCTAGTGCAATAGCTCTTTGGGCTGGAGAGATGGTCCAACGGTTGAGAGCACTAACTTCTCTTCCAGAGGACAGGGTTCAATTCCCAGCACCCACATACCAGCTCACAACTGCCTGTAACTCCAGTTTCAAGGGATCTGATTCCCTCCTCCGACCCCCACAGGCACCAGGCACACGAAGGGTGCATAGATATACAGGCAGGCTCATAAAACAAAAAGAAATCTAGAAAAATCTTTTAAAAATCGTTCTCCTGGGGCTAACTGAGCTTCTAGGTCGGCCTGCTGTGAATGCCATCTCTCGTTAAGAGCTGTAAGCGTGCAGAGCAATCCAAACATAATTAAGACTTCCCAGACAATGATTATAATTATATTCTAAGGCCTGAACTGTGGAAGGCAGGGACACAGGGTATGGGTAGCTGAGTGGTAGAGAGCACGCCTACTGAGCTTAGCATGTGCTATGCCATCCCCAGCACCAGTGGCTACAATAACCTCCGAGGCAGTAAACAATGGGAGGAGCCTAGGCCGTCCCTGGGAACTCCTTGAACCTTGAACTTTGTACCTGGTGGAAAACCCCTTCTCTACCTAGGAGCTGTGTCATCAGGGAGCAAGAGCAGCAGGCCTGTCTGTGAATCTTGACAATGAGGAGGTTAAGTAGATGGAAGAGAAGCATTTAGTCAGGTAGAGAATTTGTCTATTCTCTAGTTAGAAGAGAGAGAATATTAGTCTTGGGTTATTTAAATCTTTCCTGTCTCAGGTTTTCTAATTTCAGATAAAATACACACTAGCCTTGACAAGCGACCACAAAATGTGGCACGGGGGTCGAACGTCACCATGTCCCACCACCCTCCCCACACTGCCCTGCAAGCCTCACCCTCACCTCACGCCCCGTCAGGTCACCTCCCATGTCTCTACCCCTGCCCGGCTCTGGTGCCCGTGCATATGGGGTTAGCTTTGCTGTACCCAAGGCTAAACTGGCCCACAGGATGACAGTGTCTTCATTCTCTCCTGGCTGCTCAGGATCTCCAGGCTTCCCCACCTCCAGCAGAACCCTGCCAGCTGCGGCTCACTCACTGGAGCCTGCTCATTCATCGCGCCGTCCAGATGAGACTCTTGAGATTGCTAAATTTGGTCAGTGTACAGGGCTATGCAGGGTGCCTCTGAGCTAAAAATACCAGCCAGGTCTGGGGTGGAAGCGGCACACAGCACGGTTTGGGGGTGGTGGGGGGTGGTGAGGGGATCCCTGGAATGCAGACAAAGTGTCCTGTTCTCTCCCGCAGCTTGATCCGTCTACAGGGCATCCATACTGTGGAATGGCAGCCATGGCTGTCCAAGGAGGCAAGATGTGGGTCGCAGAAGCTGCCTTCCCTATGGATCAGGTACTCAGCTTAGTCCCCAGATCTAGACTGCAGCTGGGGCTCACCAGCTCTGAGACTCACCTTCAATTTATTTCTTTAAAAAAAAAAAAAAATCGGTAGCTTGTATCACAACCCAGGAGGCAAATGCTGAAGATGAGGCAGGACAATCATAGGTTTGAGGACAGCCTGAGCTACATATTAGCAAGTTGGCAGAGTGCTTGCCTAGCATGGACAGAGTGCCAGTTCCATCCCGGTTGTCTCATAAGCCAAATGCTGTGGCCAGCCCTGTA